GCTGCTTTAGCCCAGTTCATAGTTAAACTGTAACTCTCATTGTAATAATCTCATAATAGACACTTTTTTTTTTCAGCCATGAATATTGTTATCTATATAAACTATTTTTGAAAGAGTATCTTTGAAAAAGATGTGTCTTTATGCTTCGGGACACAGGTGAAACCCTTAGCAAATGAGACTTACAACCTTTTCTCCTCTACTAGTTATGTTAGATGACTATTTCTGGGTTTTTGCACTTTATGCTTTTATGGTGTGGTGCTTCCGGTCCATTTTTCATTAGAACTCCATTAACTATTCTGATGGCCACACTACATTTTTGCAATGAAAGAAATGTCCAGAGGTTTATCTGAGTTTCTGAATATCTGACAAGACTAGGGATCGATATGAACTTGGTATCTTACAATGAAGACCTCAAAACTGTGTTGAATGAGAAAGCCATAGTACAGAAAATGAATGCTATTTACTATATTCTATTTTCTAGTCCGTTTCGCTGGACTGAAACAGAACAAAATCAAACCTAATAAAAACCTAATGCAGCAAACTAGAAGCAATCACTTGTCCACTGCATGCAGCAGACTAGCTGAAGAAAACAAATCATAATCTCTAAATTAGTGTTGACCTATGCCAGTTGGTCTAGAGTACACAGTGAAAGGACACAAACAAGTAGCAGATGTGACGTGGAAGCAGAAAAATTGTTGCTGTAAGAACTATAGTGTGGCACCACGTTGTCACGGGAATGCTGATTTTGAGCCACCATCATTCCTGTAGGGCTAACATATAGTGATAAACTTTGATATGTCTTTCAGCCATAGTGTATGCTCTAAAGTGAACCCTCCACTGTCTATGACTGTAGTTATTTCAGCTGGATTACTGAGGCTGACACTGGTTGAAGACACGTAAGTGTTCTTTTCATTTTTGTTTCTTCATGAAGGAGAGGAAAGCTTTATTCATTAATTGATTCAGAGACTTGAGATCATGAATATCTGAAACCAACGTCATCTAATTATGGCGTTGTCTTTTAGAAGAACATTATCCACAGGGTTTTCACACGTTTAAATGCTGACAGTGAGTCTGACAGTAGCATATCTTGAGTAGCTCTTCCAAATTCCAATTCAGTGTGCAAGACAATATCTGGTGCCTCCTAAGGGGGCCTGTGTCTTCATAGGACAAGTTAAAGGGCCTTTGGAAGGGGCTCAGATAATGTGATGATACTTAAATAGATGGACATAGTGTATTTCATCCAGTAAAATGACAGTAGAGATTTCAGTATTCAGAATGTAATTATCAGAACTGGAATTTGGCCAGGACATTAACTGAGTTAATGGTCTTATTTTACTGAAGTACAGTGAGATGTCTGATTATCTGAAGACGCTTATATCTCTTATGGCAAAAGTAATGTGTAGTATTGCTGTACTGAGTAGTTTACATGCAGGGCAACATTTGTATTAACACTTTCTTGAAACCCATGTGCTGTCACCTCCTTGATGTTGCATGACAGCACAGTGAAAGCTAGGTGGGGAGGTAAGTGGCATCTATGCTATTTCTCATTTTTATCAGTAAAGTACAATGCTTCTTGAATTTCTTTAGGTGTTTAGGTTTGCCCTGGAGATTTACTGAAGAAATATGTTAATATAGCTTGTGTAGGTCTTTGAAAAAGCTTCCGAAGAACAATCAGATATTCTCATTTATCTGGGGACTCCTGCTTTTTTTAAAGGATGATAAAACTGCATCAACTACAGTTAGGAAGCTTAGCATGTTTAAATTCCCTCTTACTAAGGAAATCTTTCCAATTGTGAACTAAAGAGAATGTGCAGCACATTAATATTAATATACCCTCTAGCTCTATTTGAGCAGGGATTGTTCCATTCATTAAATGTACTCTGTTCACCCACACTCACTTAATACTCTTGCATTTGTTTCTGTTTCTCTTGTACTGGCTGTGAAGAATGAGTAAGAAGCTATAAAGAGCCAGCAGGGATAGAATTGAGCAGGGATGAGAGGACTTCCCTCCACCTCTTGTTTACTTTCCTGCAAGACAGAAATTTGTTTGTAATGTCTGCAAACAGTGTGGTTTCCCCTAATACATAAACAGCAAGATAGCACAACTCAAACATATTTTCTCATATTGCATGCCTAGGTACTTTGGAAAGAAAACGGATAAACAAGTAAATACAGAATAACTTCAAACCTGCTTGTAGATCTTATATTCATCAGGTCTTTTAAGGTTGATGCAGTGAGGAGCTCCAGTTCACCAAGAGAGAGATGCAAACACTTTGAAGTGATCTGTCTGAATCTGTCAGACACCTGGAGGTCAGGGGGTTAGGCTGTTTCTCTGTCTTAAAAGTTTTGAATCTTAAGGAGCCTGCTACAAGGTTTGATGCACAGTGCCAGTTGCTATCCCCTTCATGGCCCTCTTCTTTTGTGTGATCCAATGTGTAAGAACTACACTATCAGTTAATGCAGATTTTGCATTTCTCCCCATGGAATGGCTGCAAATTGTGAGATTTAATGTTGCTTTTGTGTGCTTCACTATGTCAATTTTTTCTTCTGCTGTTTCTTACTTGCATCCTTTCCTTAATTTTCTTAATTTTTCTTCTTGATCATGTTCCCCCCCACACTGGAGTGGGTACCTTCTTCTTGTCTTCATATGCCAAACACCTGCTATCTCTGCTTTCAGATATTATTTCAAACAGAAATGAGCATTTTTGTGCTTATAAAAACTTTCTGTTCTCTGTATGGCTGTTCTGTGGTTTTGTTACACAGGACTCACTGCTCCAGAGGCTGAGTAGAGCACATCACATGGAGGTTAGAACAAGAAGTGGAGTTTATGAGATTGGATTTGAAAGGAAAATAAGAATTTGAAGGGTATTTTCATTGAAAAATGAAATCAGCAGATATTGGTTTAGATTGTGGGGGGAGTGGTGAGGGACAGCAACCCAGCAATGTGGTGTAATTATTGATCTGAGGACACTTACCTTAGGAACTTAGTATTATATCTTTGATTAAAGAACTACCTGCAAGGGAAATCAGTAGATATTTACTGAAGTTCACGAGTTTCAGTATGCTATTTATTTCAGATTGGACATAAGTGGTAAAGGTCAAAACAATTTAATAATTAATTTCAGTACGTTAAATTTTTGTTTTGATAAAATGGAGGTAAATGCTTTCTTGTTCTCTTTTCCTCAAAAAAGAACTGCATCTTAGAAATTCAAAACAGTTTGTATCCTAGTTCTTTTTTGCTACTCAGATGGGTACAAAACCTTTTTCTTTGAAGCAGTGAAATGTAGAAAGAAGCCTGATGACTGGCACTGTGCTTCTGCAGTTAATGCTCATTGCCTGTTGTGCTACTTCCAACATGCTCCCCACAGCATCATTCTCTTCTCTGTTTTATGCCTACAGCTTATGGTCTCTCAACAGTGTTTCTTACTTGAATCCCTTTTTGGTCCTCAGCTGGAAGGTGGCCTTGTGAAATTTTCATCTGTGAGGAGCAGAGGGTGGGAACCTAGATGTAAACTGTCTGAATTAATTCCAGTTTACAGGTTATAAGGTACATCTAAATATGGATTTCTGCTTTTAAGACTTACAAACTAATCTAATAATTAAAAAAAAAAAAGATTGCTACTTTTTAGATTTTTTTTTTCTAATGAGAAAATGGTTAATTTTGTAATATTTGTAATAGTTTGTATGTTTCAGCCATACGTTATGTTAGCCTGTGATGAAAAAGCTGTTTCTTAGTATAGTATTATTTTCCAGCCTCAAAAACTAAATCCTCTTGAGACATCCTTTTGAATCTTTGAAGGAACATATTGTAGAAATCACGTAAATGAGTCGTAGTAGTGAACAATTTGAGTGATGCAGCAAAATTAGAAATAAAGGGTGACTTATTCAAGAACAAGTACTAAAATATGGCCTCTGTACTTTAGCATTTTTTTTCTCTTGGTTACCTCTTCCTGCCCGCAAAGTATCAAGCAAGCAGTGAGTGATTGCTGCTAGTAGTAATGTTGTCATGCTTCAGTTAATCTTATTTCTTGCCCTTTTTCTACCTTTAGAACTTAATAAACTGAAGTCCCACCAGGAAATTTGTATTCTTAAGACTATGAGTGCCAGTATGTGGAGCACACTGTCTATGTTCTGTAATCTTTGTCATTTCATCATTAAAAAGTAATTAATTAAAAAAAAAAAAAAAGGAAAGAGAGAGATAGGCTTGCATTTACTGAGAAGACCTTTTCTTAAATTTTTATTAATGACAACATATCTTCACAAGATCTGCTTGTATTTATTTCTAATTCTCCTCCAAGGTAAGTTGGAGAGCAAAAGTTTAAACCAGTATGTTTTCAAATTGTACTTTATTGCTATAAATAATTTACAGTTTTATTGTATTATTTATTTAAAAAATCCCAGCTAATAAAAAATTTTATTGAATGTCTGTTTGGATTTCTACCAGCCTAGTTACACAATACATTATGATAAAAATGTAGCTATTAATTTTCTTATTTACTCCTGCTAGAATAGGTGATATAGAACCAGGTTTAATTGTTGAATGTGACAGCCCTTTATTGAAATTAAAGAGAGAATTAATTGTTATTTGATACCTCTTTCTGTCTTTTGTATCCTTGGGATTGTGAACAGATGGAAAAAAATGATTTACATTTGCTTCTCTTTTCTGATTTAGCTCCTATCTAACTTTGTTACACTTCTGATCCTTGAGATACTGAACTTTCTTGAGATCATAAGCAGATTTCATAATTCTGTACTTCTGTTGAATGGTCTTTTGCTGCAATAGTTTAGTGTTTGTTAACTACCTGTAGAGAGAAGACAGCTTGTAGTCGAAATGCTACAAGCCTGAAACAGTGATTGAGCACCTGGTGGGAAGACAGGGACAATTCAGGGGAGCTCAGGTGCATGCAGTGTACCTGACTGATAGAAGGGGTGGAGCCAGGATCCACCCCTTCCTAGTCCTCATTTAAGGGTTTGCAGGTAGAAACAAGGCTATCTTGCTGGTGATCTCTGCCTACCTGAGACTTTCTAAGGGTAAGCAGGGTTTGTTGGTCGGTTCTATGGCTGCTGTGTTTGTGTATATCCCTACTTGCTGCTGCCTAGGATTTGCTGCCCTGCTGTTATTGCTGTGCTTTCCATTACGTTATAGTGTTCTACTGCTTCATTTTCTCCTGAAGGCAATCAATAGATTTTTTCTTTTCTTAAGAAGTCTAGGAGATTAGGAGTCCAAAGAAAGAACAGCAGGGCATCAAATCTGGTGTGATGGTGAAGAGTAGCTATTCTCTGTGAATATAGAGACATCCTTATTTAGTACTTCCTCCCAGGAGGTGACAAGAAAATAAAACTTTATCTTCATCATCGTGTTCAACAATCTTGAAAATGCTTTCAAACTTCAATTTGTTTCTTAATCCAGTTTGTCTTAAAAGTATCTTTACTGTTCCAATCTGCCTTCAGGTGTGTCTTTCACTGGAGTTAAAAATGGTGGCTCTAGAAATACTGTCTGCTTATTATGGCAAAGTTTGATCATGCTAAATGATAGTGTAGCTTTTAATTAAGTTATAGTGATCTCACCTAGTCTTTCCTGTGCACTATTTCAGGTTATATTTAATAACACTTTTCTATTCCCAGTTAAGTGGGTCAGGTTGATTTTTTTGCATTCACAAAAGTCTGTCCAATGGGCTACTGGCTACTTAAGTGACCTTGTGGAAAACTGTTTTGTCACAATGAGCTTAATTGATGTTTACAACTTGCTTAAGCAAAAAGAATTGAACTTAATAGGAAATCATTATAAATGCATCAAGAAATACTCCCAATATCATCATAGGTAAGGCAGGTAGGACTCTGCCTCGTGCATTAATGTTTATTGGTGTTCTTCATACTAGCTACCTCATTGTCCAACTGTAAAAGTATTTAATATTAAATAAGGGAAAGGACACCTCTGTTCATCTGCCCTACGCAGTATATTTGAAATACTAATAGCACCCAATGAGTGGGACATGTTGAGTGTGGCTAATAAATCTTAATTGCTTTGAGGGCGTTGATGCACTGACTGCAGTTGTCTTGAGCTTTCAAGGGCAGGGGCTCTGAGAGAGGAGGTAAAATGCAAGAAAGTAGCTGACTCCAGGGGATCCAATGTCAAGGAAAGGATATGGACACAGGCTACAGTAAAATGTGTTTCAGAGTGTGTATTAATAGCACTTGTCTTATTTTAAGAGGATATGTCATGACATAGGTGTGCTCCAGGCTTTTAAAATAACAGCCTCTGCTACGAAGTTCATTATTCAGTCTCATGAGTAATCAGAAAAGACACTTTGTTTGTTTATTTTTAGTTTTGGGGTTGGGGTAGGGGAAAAAATGTGTATGGAAGTGTAGGGGGCCTGAATGCACTCTCATTTAAGTACAAACTGAATATTGATAGTAGTGAATTCAAATGAGCTTTTTAGATAAGTAGCTAGAAAATAAAGTTTAGTATCTGTTTTATTTGCTTGTGCTTGAGCCAAGTTATTCAAAACTAGAATTTCTGTTTCTAATTAGTAGGGAAGCACAGATATTCTTTAGATAAAGTAGTGATGAGGTGCTGGAACAGGCTGCCCAGAGAGGTTGTGGATGCCCCATCCCTGGAGGTGTTCAAGGCCGGGTGGGATGGGGCCCTGGGCAGCCTGGTCTAGTATTAAACGCGGAAGTTGGTGGCCCTGCATGTTGCAGGGAGGTTGGAGATTCAAGATCCTTGAGGTCCCTTCCAACCCTGGCCATTCTGTGATATTGATCAGTATAGATAATTTTGTAGCAGTGAGAGATATTATGTATGTGTATTACTTGAGTGGGAAACACAAAAAATACTGTAAAATTTCCAACAGCCATTACAGTTCCTTTCTTATACCTAGACGCATTTATTTCTGAAGCTTAATTTGATTTCTTGAAAAATATTTGAGTTTGAAATTAAAACAACCAGATCAGTTCTTCACAACTAGGTGTAAATGAGTGGTATTTCTTGTATTTCTGAAAAAGAAAGAACAGTTTTCATTAATGTATGTTTTAGATTGAATTTGTGAACTTAGTTTTATATTATATATACAATACCTGGAAACCACTTTGCAAAGGTAACTGTGAAAGCAAGCAGGACAGGTTAAGAAGTCTAGACAGACAAAATGTTCTGCAGTGTTCTTGCTAAAAAAATATGATTTTGAATACTTTCACTGTTATACTGTGAGAAATAAATGGCCAGAGCTATTTTTATGTTTAATTATGCCTACCTATGATGTTTAGATTAATGAGGAGTTCTCAGCTGGACAGAACTGAAGTTGTTCAGTCTGTGGGGTTGAAAAGAAAAAGATTCAATTGTGGAGCAACTTATGGCAAAGGAAATAATATTTTCAACAAACTTACTGTCTAATGGTTTTAGTTGGAAACAAATGTATGAGAACATAGAACTGAAGGGGAAAAAAAAGGCCTGTGAAAAATGGCATCCTGGGATCTTTTTATTTATTTCTTTTTTTAACTTAACCAAGAAATTCAGTTCAGTCTCTTGGAAATGACTCATGGCTGTAGGCTGGGAATTGCTGGGAAAGGTAGATATGAATTTTTATGCTGTGTTAGACTGATGGGTGTATTCTGGTTGCCAACCAAACACTTGTGGGTATACTATATATTCTGCTTGGGAAGGGGGGAGAGATAGATGGAAGAAGGAAATATATAAAATTCACAGAATGCAAAGGTTTGTAGTGATTTATTGTTCTTGCTCAAGACTACAATATGGCTTGCCTATCTTTATAAGATGTGGTGATCTGAAAGGTCTAGTAAAAATAATTTGTTTACTTTAAAAATTATATACAGCTAAAAGATTAACTGTTGGAACGAAAATATTAGGAAAAACTACATGAGGCAGAAAACTGAAATAAATAATAAGAGTCAGCTTTACTAAGAAACCAAAAATGAGAACTAAACTTTGATGTGGATGTGCACAGAAGAATGGATTGTTGGTTGTGTTTTTTGTATTGCTTTTTTCCCCTTTCTTTCCTCTTCTATTAAAAGAATAAAACCTTAAGTTTAGCATTAATGTGCATTTCAATATTAAATGAAGTATTTTAGCTTTACCTGACTACCAGCATGGTATCTAGTTAAATGTTGTTTAGTACTCATTTCCAAAGGGAAAATCACTTAATGTGATAATTCCATTTTCTTTTCAACTCTTAATTTATTATTCCAAGCAAATGTATTTTTGTCCCTTAGATACTGGAGAATGTTTCAGTTGCCCATATGAATTGAAAACTTGCATCTTGCATATGAAGGTTTCATATCACTATGAGTTCTGAAGCTCTTGACAGACTACTGCTAGAGTGAGTACCATGTCTTTTGCAAACTTAAATCCTCACTCTCAAATGTGCGTAATTAAATGAGTATTGTTCAGAACAGTTTTTATTTTTTGGGTATATGCATGGAGCTGGAATTAAAAGTAAAGGCACTGAATAGATCCGGTAAATTTTGCTTGTTGATTAGCTTGTCATCTCTCTTCCTTCTTGATTATAACCAGACAAACCTTTGGGAAAAGGGATTAAATGCCTGCGAAGTCGCATAGAGAATGCTGAAAAGGTCACCTTTTGTGTAACACAGAAGAAAGATTCAGTTTGTAGAGTGGCATTCAGGTTACCTCATCATAACAAGAGCTGTTTGTTTGTTTTCCAAAACTGATTTTCATATGAGCTTTCATGTACCAATCTATTTAATCAAGAAATCTAACTTAAAGTTCTCAGAAGAAACTATTTTCTCCTGAGTTCTTCAGAGCCTGTGAAAGTAGATACACTACCTGTATTTTGGTAATTTAAGATGTATGAAGGTAGAAATACACTGGAGGAGTGGGGGGGTGAATACAGGGTAATGGCAATACCATTCTTTTCACTTATTCCACAATGTTCTTCAGTAAACCTTTGGAGAATCTCTTGGGTTTTTGTTTTAGCAAACAATTGTATGCTGTCACTTTTTGGCTTTGCAATTCAGAACTGATGTAGAAAGCAGTGAAATCTATTAATCTAGGCTGTCTGATATATTACAAATGAGGAATACTTCCATTTTATGCATGCTGTTGCTGATCATTACTCGTCATAGTTATTACTGAAGTTTCTAGCCTCAGATTAGACCAGCACTTTGCCATCTCTGTTTAATAGCCACTTTGTCCTGAGACTAGATGTTGGGAACCTTTGCAGGATTGGCTGGAAACAGCAGTCTAGCTAGTTGCTAGCAGAAATATTTGGAAAACATTGTTGCTGTAAATGCAGCAATAGGTGCATTGAACCACTTAGGTGTATGTGACAGAGAGCTTTTTTTGATGTAACTGTGAGTGTTTGTAAGGTAAAAACTTGAGGAACTTCTTTGAAGGGTTTCTGAACTTCAGCCACTGTCACTTCATCATTTATCTCCTTCTGAATCCTACTCTTCTGATAGGAACAATGATACTTATGTGCAAGCAGAAAAAGAAATTGCACAAAAATACCACCTCCATGCCACTAAAGGAGATAGTGAACTTTGCCTCTTGGGTAGCTGATGGAGAACGAATAAACAAGAAAAAGAGCTTGCTTTTCAAGGATCAACTTTCTTGTTCGCCTTCTTTCCTTACAGCACTTAATTTGTGCACATCTAAATCAAACAACTGTAATCCCCTATTTAAAGCAATGTCTGCTTTCAAACTTCTGGTAATTGGTTTCTGTTTTATGCTTCTTATTCTGTTGAAAGGCTTACTAAATACTTTAGGTGTTCCTAATTTTAGTAATGAAGTAATTTATATTTTAATTAAACAGAGCTGCTACAAAATACTGTAATGGGTGCCAGGAACATTTATCTCTTGACTTTTGTCTCCTTGAATTCTTAACTGTGTGACGTTCTGAAAAGTGTCTTGCTACCTAAATCCCACAGTGTAGCCCAGCAATACTCTGCCTTATGTCAGACTATTGCATTGTTTTACTCTTTCTGTACTTTTGATCCCTGCTATCTGTAAGGATCTTGTAAACAAACAGTGCATCTGTTTTTCAAGCACAATCTTTAAAAGCAAGGTGGAGGGGGAAAGGTGGGAGTAGGGGGTGGAAGGAATGATTGTGATATTTTAACTCTTTTGTTGGTTGGGTTATTTCCTTTGTTACTATTACTACTATCCATGGTAATGATGGGGAGAAAAAGAAAACTTCATCCTTCTCCCCTCACCCCATCCTTTCAGGCTACCCTGGCAAGAATTTTTTTTTTTTTTTTTTTGCATTATCATCAACTCATCACATCATGCTTATGTATAACGTACTGGAGCTTAATTTAGACATACATCACTGCTGAGATTGCACCACAAAATGTGTTATGTGAATATGTAGGAGGGAAATGGGGAATAGTAATAATTGCAAGGGGTTGAATAATTTTCTTTTGAAACTAAGATGCATCCTGCTACATTCCCTTCAGAATTGCTCCATTTTTACTGTATTTCTGATTCTTATATCTAGTCACATTCTTGTCTGATTTGATGTATGGTGTTTAAAAACTGTTACTGTGCACAAGTATATTTTTTCAAAGTTTAAGATTTTTGAACCATGTGGATTTTTAGTAACTCAGATAATTTCTACTTAATTTACCATGTATATTATTGTGCATTTGTGGATCACACTGTACAGTTGTATATTCATTGTTCTAAATATTTTCATCTATAAAGCTATCATTTATATCTAGGGCACGTGTATTTAAAAAATACAGATTATTTTTACTATGCTTAATTAAATTTTCTTCTATGAATTGCAAAACATTTTTAAAATGGGACAATGATGTAGACTTTGCCATTTCTTGGATTATTTAGGAATCCATGGAATTCTAAATTAAAGGATGTATTTCTCAAAATATTGGTGACTAGTAACAACTTGCTTCCCTTCCTTCTCCATACCATGAATTTTCGTTGTTCCCCCCCCCCCCCCATTACTTGTTATCTAAAAATAGAAAATTGTATTCCTGTAGCATGTTACAATGGAGACTAGATGGGATTAGCTGAAATAAAAATACAGGTAAAGGAAAAGGTTGAGGTCTATGTGCAGTGATTTGGCTCTATTTGTTTGACAAAAAAAAAAAGGGGGGCGGAGGGGGAGGCGGCAGATGTGATATTTAATAGCCTTTATCCCATTAATTTGAGAGGGGAATATTTTAAAAATGTTCCCTTTCATACATGTTTGCTTTCCGCTAAACATACATCGACTGAAGGGTTTCTTGCTTTCAGAGTTAAAGGCCATTGTAGCCTCAACTAACCTTTTAATCTTTTAGCATGCATAGGTGAGGTCCAAAAGAATAGCCATCCTGGCAAAGCCAGTTAAAGAAGTATGCTCAATAGTAGTGCTGGGTTCTTCAGTAGGATGACAAAATGCTAAATTTAAAAGATGACTAGAAGTGTGTGATAATTAATAATGGCTTATTTGACATTCTCACATGTTTCAGAAGGAGAGAAATAAAAGTTTAATTAACAGAACGCTTATTCTTGTCTCTGCCTATTTAAAAAGTGTGCACACAATATCTAATTATTAGACTTCTGTATTTGAACATAAGGTGAATATTTTCTCGTTGCAGGCTAGGCATATTTAAAGCAGACCATCACACAGTTGGTCTGTTTGCAATAGTGGGAAGAATTTCTTAATGTTTAAGTTTAATGGGAGGTGACTTGCTTTTAGAGCATAAATTAGAAGCTCCAACCCTCAGGAGAGAAAACACATTCCTTCTGGCTTGGAAGATGGAATTTCATCTCAGTACTGAGGCTAATAGAGTCCTCATTTCTCAGCTCATGTCTATTCCTGACTGCACTGTAAATTGGTGGTAATCTGGAATGGAATGGCAAAATCTCTACAAGTATACAGTATGCTGGCTGTCGCTTCTTGCATTCCTGCTGTTGGGTTACCATGTTTGCAACAGAAATCTGTAGCAACAGAAGTTATTTATTTTATATTACATCACCATTGTAATTTCAGCAAGGGGTTCAATAAGTGGGATGCTTTTTTTTTTTTTTTTTTTTTGTCTAATGCAAGCTGGCTGATGTGAGAGCATGTCAAGTATACTTCCAACTTATTCTTTGTGAATATATTTTTCTGAAACAGTGAAAATGCTCCTGAAGCATGGAAACCTATGTGAAGAGAGCCATTCGATGAGGGACTGATAATGGTTTTGCATTTACTCAGCATTTTTATAATAGTGTTTACTGTGCTATTTTAGTGGTGACATTGTATCTTGCATCAGTGGCATGTCTTTGCATTGCTTCGGCAATAACCTGATAATATACTGGCTTTTTTGGTCATCTGGCACTGTCACTGATTCATACTACTGTTCCCTGAAGTAGAAAAAAAATTTTCTTTCCTCCCGATTTACTCTATTTTCTTACTTAAAAATATATTTCCTGTCTTCAACCCCAGTCTACTGCCTCTGTGATTCTATAGTTGTTCTTGAGTGCTCAGCATCTTACTTTTCTCCATGTACCCCAGTGCCACACAACATCTAGGCTTGGCAGAAACAGTAGTGGGCAGGACGGTGCTGTGCTTTGGGCAGCACAACCCACCTGCAGTACCAGGCCAGCCTAGCTCTGAGCTCCAACCTTCAGGGGAGATGGTGGAACCTGACAAAGGTGCTCCAGGGGCTGGAGGTGGCAGCTATAGAGTCAACACATTAGCTGATGAGGCCCTTTCTGCTCTTCATTTAATACTTCTGCACTATTCAGAAAAGGGATGCTGATAAAAAGGTAGTTACATGAACAGATTTGAAAAATAAGCCACAATGAAAGCAAGAAAGTCATTTAGCTGATTTGTATGACATAAATGCAAATGTGCCTTTGAATGCTGATGTGAAAATGGAGTGCATCAGATGTAGTGCAAACAAGCCTTTGTTCTCAAGGCTACCTTCCCAAAAGTTCAGATTTCTACTTTCTTGGAGAAGACAGTTTTATTTTGACTACTTTCAGGCCATCTGTGGACAGAATTTATCCAAGAACTAGCTTCTTCCAAGTGTTGCCAAACAGCAGGAATGTTCAAGGGGTAGAATATATTTTCCAGAATCAGGTAGACATGACAGGCTTCTTCAGGGGGAAAAAAGTTTAAACTCTCAGCACAATGTGGATTACTTAGCACCAGATTATTTTGTCATAGTATTTTGTAGTACCAGCAGATTGTAGGCTACAGGCAAACGTGCCTGATTTCCAACTTTTCTTTTTCTGTAAATATGTAAATTATGAGTAGCTGGGTCATTTTCTCTGTTTTGATAGAAATTAGGCTATAGGAGCAACAGGGATGATAGAACTAGTTTATAGTGGACACAAGATGTTGTTTGCTTAAAATTCCTCCCTTGC